CCTCCATTTCTTTCTCCACAGTAAAAACTGACACAAAATACTCATTTAATACATCTTCCATCTCCTGAGGTTCAACAAAAAGATGACTTTGTTGATCTTTAAGGGGGTCTACTCTCTCCCTAGTTGCTTTTTTGCTATTAATGTACTTGTAGAATCTCTTTGGATTATCCTTAGCCTTGGCAAATAAGGTTATCTCATATCCTCTCTTTCCCTTCCTGATCTCCCTCTTAAGAATGCTCCTACCCTCTTCTTCTGTTCAACAGATTCATTTGAACCCAGTTATCTATATCTCATGTATGATTCTTCTTTATTCTTGATTACAGCCTCAATATCTTTAATTATCCATTGTTCTGTAATCCTACCAGCTTTATCACTCTAACAGGAACATAATGAATCTGAACTCTCATTATCACACTTTTAAATCCTCCCACTTATCAGTCATCCTTTTACCTGTGAACAGTCTACTCCAATCAATTTTTGAAAGTTCTTGCCTCATTCCATCAAAATTTGCCTTTCTCCAATTAAAAACTTTAATTTTTAGGGGAGGCTTATTCTTTTCCATAAATATTATAAAACAAATAGAATATGATCACTGGACCCAAAGTGTTTCCCTACTGTCACTTCAGTCACTTACTTGGTCTTATTACCCAAGACAAAGTCAAGTTTTGCTCCAGCTCTAGTAGGAACATTTACATATTGATAAAGAAAAATTTCTTGATGACATTTAACAAATTGTTCACCATCCAAACCTTTAACACTATGGTAATCCCCTACAGTTATTGGAAAATTAAAAATCCCCTAGAATTACAACATTATTCATACATATATCTGAGATCTCTCTACATACTTGTTCAATTTCCCTCTGACTATTGGGAGGTCTATAGACTAATCCCATCAAGGTGACCATGCCTGTTTTATTTCTAATTTCAACCCATATATTTTCACTGAATGATTTTTCAGAAATATCTTCTCTAGTTACAGCAGCAACGTTTTCCTTAATCAAAAACACCACTCCCCCTCCTCTTTTGCCTCTCTTTCTACCCTTCCTATAGCATTTGAAATGCGGAACATTGAACTACCAGTCCTGTCCATCCCTCAGCCAGGTTTATGTAATAGTTATGACATCCCAATCCCATGTTCCCAAACATGCCCCAAGGTCTCTGCACTTCGCTTCATTGTCCACCCACCAGCATGTCTTTCTTAATTCATTACTTCTTGACTCTGGATTGCTCCTTGCTTGTTCTCCATGGCTAACCGATAATGTTCCCTTACTTTTCTCCATTTGTTCCCTTTCTGATAAATGATCCACTTGTTCCCAGCATCAGGTTGAGTCATCCTTCCTTCCTAAAGAACTAAACATACTTTAAATACTCCTCCCTCTCTTTGCCCTTTGTATCCTAGTCTATATTAGGATAACTAAAGTCCCCCTATTATAAATACTCCAAATCTAGTATGTGGTTACTACTTAGAAAATGCTCATCTTCAAATTCTCCTTCATTTTGGTCACAACAGTTCTGTTGGCACACAGTCAGTGAAATTTTTCCAACATATTTAAATGGTCTGGTGGTTCTGGTAGCAATGATATCGTCCTATCACAATCCATTATTCTTCTTGTCTTTAACTTTCATCTCTCTCCAATTGTATAACACAAATAGTATTTGCTCTATTTTCAGCGACCTGCTTCAACAAGTTCTGTTCAAAGACTTCCATTAGAAAACCATTCCATTCAGGGAACCCTATTTCTTCTGTACACAAATTATCAGTATGCTTGGAACTGCCAAGCAGAAAACACTGGCAATGCAATCCAATTCAACTGCAATTAGCTTTCTCACTACCCATTGCTTATTCAAGAAACCAATTTTCCTAATTTAAAATACTCCCCCGTCCCTTTTGATCTTCGAGGGACATCACCCAGACGAAAAAAGACATTTTGCTAGCACATGGATTATCACACCTGAACAACTTGTATCAAGGATTGGAATCAATAAATGTGGAGCTGGAAAAGAACAGCAGGTCAGACATCACCTGAGGAGTAGGGAAGTCAATGTTCGAGCCGAAATCCTTCATTAGGACTGGAAGGGGGAGTCAAGCCCACAAACAAATGGAGGGGAGTGGGCAGGGGGGAGGGTAGGTGGGATGGGCCTAGATGGGTGCAGTTAAGTGGTTATCACGTACTGTTCTGAGGAAGGGTCACCGGACCCAAAACGTTAACTCTGTTTTTTGCTTCACAGATGCTGCCACACCTGCTGGGCTTTTCCAGCAACTTCATTTTTGTAAGCGGTTATTGTGGTTGGTCAGTGGGAAGGGTGGAGCGGATAGGTGAGTCGGAAGATGGACAGGTTTGGGGTGGAGAGATTTTGAAGCTGGTGAAGTCAGTATTCAGGCCACTGGGATATTTCACCGTGGGAGCCCAATGGCCTAAATACTGACTTCACCAGCTTCAAAATCTCTCCACTCCAAACCTGTCCATTTTCCGACTCTCTTACTGTCTCCTTACTGTATCAAGAACTATTTAGTACCCAGTCCTGTCCTTCTGCGATTAATCTCTTACTATCACAACGTCATATTGCCACATGATCAACTGTGACTGAAGTTTAAGTTTATTATGCTCCACTCATTCACATACAAGTACAGTAAACACAAACTTTATTCCTTTTCCTTTGATTCTGACCACACTAAATACATGATTATTTTTGTATTATGCCTCTCCCAATTCTCTGCGCTATGATTAACATTTCTAATGTTACCTCCAAGTTCCTGGTCTCATACCAAGTTAATTTAAACCCTCCAAATAGATGTTATTTCCTTTGAGGTCCTTCTTAATACTTTCCTACCTTACTTAAAATTGCCAGCAGGACCTCATCCCTCTTTTTAGCCATGTCACTGTTGATGATCTGATATGACTTGTTACCTTTGGCTATTTATCCTCCCCCCGGCAGAGTGCTCTGCAGCCACTCAGGAACAATCTTGACTTTGGCACTAGGAAGACACTATACCATCCTGGATTCACATCTACAACCACAAAAACACCCAACTTCTTCCCTAACTATACAAATCTCTGTCACTATGGCTTTGTGAATATTCTCCCAAGCCCTTGTACAGCCAATTCAGCCATGGCCCTGCAGCCTTGGCTCTGGCTCCTCTCTCCAGAGGAATTATCACTCTCACCAGCATTCAGAAATCTTCATCAATGCAAAAATGGTAACAAATCTCAAAACTGTATTTTTTGTCAAAAAAACTTATAAAGTTACAGAAGCTGCCACCCTTACAGACTGCTGTTCAGTCAGAATTCAAAGAATTATTCCCCAGCACCAACTTTAAATTTGCAGTCCTACATAACCTTTTAGGCATAAGCCATGAAAGCACATTTTACAGGCTTGGGTATCTGTGCGACTGTATGGCTGTTGTGTCAACTGATTGACAACACATGGATGTTACATAAAGAAAATCAAATACACAAGTTTAGAGCAGATTTCTAAAATATAATTTATTCATATAGTCAGAGGATCACAGAATTATGGAACTTACTCCCCAAAGGGATGTCAACACCAGATCAACTGAAATTTTCAAGACTGAAATGTTTGTTTGAAAAGAGTAACAAGGGATAAGGATCAAAGGTGGATATGGAGCAATGGGAGTTTAATGGAGCTGAGATATAGACCAAACAAAAGGAGAACAGAAAGACATTGCAGACTCGAGAGGCTGAAATATCTATTGCTGAATTTCTAGGATGCTACAAATTGAAAGATAACAAAATTGTCCACATGACTAGTTGCCAGATCGCAGCACGGTCATGACTTGAAGCAGAGACCCTGACAATCTTCGAGATTTGGTGAATTAAACTGTCCATCAAAGGATGTACATAAATCCTGGTCAGTTCTTTAAAAATGAAAGTATTTTAATGTTCTGATTTTGGAGTTTTGCTCTAAGGCAACAGTCGCTCAAAACGCTCTCACCAATAAAGACAAAGCGCAATGCATAAATCCAGACAAGAGTTCTACCCCGAGTCAAATCCAAAGTGATGCGAGGATGCCTCCTGTACAAATGATCCTGCACATCTGGGCCCTGTTGAACTGGGAAATGGAGTGGAGGGGGACAAAGGAGGGGCAGAGAAGAGGGGCACAGGAACAGGAAGGAGCAAAGGAGGAGGAGGGAAGAAGGGCAAAGGAAGGGGGGGAATGGACTGACAGTTAACAAGAGGGGCAAAGGAGGAGGAGGGAAGAAGGGAGGGCAAAGGAGGAGGGGGGATGGACTGACAGTTAACAAGAGGCTGATGCTCAGGTTCCAGCATCACCTGTGTTGAAGTGCACTCGTTAGTGGTACCGATAGCAAAGTGACAGCAGCAACACAGAATAGCCACATCGGGACTCGAAACGTTCACTCTGATTATCTCTCTCTCTACGGATGCTGCCGGACGTGCTGGAGAAATTCGGCACTTTCTGATTTGGTTTTTGATTATTGTAGCAGGACTGTCCCTGCAACGCACTAGTGGTCGAATCCAGCGGAAATAAAGGCGCTGGGTGAAATCCCACCGCCGTCAGTTTCCAATAACAACAACAACAACAACAACAACAAACAACAACGATAACAAACAACGGCGGGGCCCAGCTGAACGAGAGGGAGGAAAATCACACAAGCTGCCTAGACCTATGCACGGCCGGTTACAGACAGTCAGTCCTGCCTTGCTTACTACACCATCTCCTTCCCACCAAAGCCAACCCAGAGCGGCTAGCCCCATACGATCCCGCGGGGCCCACTCGGCTGGAGCCGGCGGACGCAAACCAGAGCGCGCGGCCTGTTGCTAGGGAGACGCTCGCTTTACCTGGAGGGGGGCCGTTTGGAAACGCGCGAGCGGCCGAACCTGGCTCGAGTCGTTTCAAATGGCCCTGACGCCTGTGCGGAACCGGCGCGCGCGAGATCCCGCGAGATGTCACCTTCCCCGTTGTCGGAGACCAACCGTCTCCCTCGCCTCCCCTTGCCCACCGCCGGGAATTACTCACGTCCTAAGATCGCTGCTTTCGACATTCACCTTTGAAAAGCACGGGGATGCGGGGGGGAAGGAACGCAATCTTTCATTCACTGCCTTGACGGCGAACCACCAGGAACCGGTTTTAATTCACCCTCCCTTCCCCCGCCCGCCTCATGTCAGAAAACGTCAAACACGAAAACAAATGTCCGTCCTCTCTCCGCCCCCCCTCTCGGCGGAATGCCGCCCTGCGCGAATCAGCCTGTGATCGCACCAGCCGCGTGTCCATGGGAGAGTTCAACTGTAGAAGTCTTTCCGCACTTTGGGAAGCGGAGAGCACGGGATGTTTTCCGCCGTCCCGTTCCGCAAAGTAACTTCAAATCTCGCGCGACGTGGAGGAGGAGGGAGAGGAGGGATCGACAGCTGCAACATGGCGGCCGATCTACTGTGTTATGAACAGAGTCATCTTAAAATGTGAAGGGAGCGACCTGACTGCGCTAGGGGAGTCTTTAAACAGGGTGGAAAAATATCCAGGTAAAGAGACTGGAAGTTTGCGTTTCACGAGAGCCTTGCCGAGTTGTCTGTAGTTCTTCTTTGCATTTTAATTGAGGCAGGCATTGTTGGTGACGGGTGGATAAAGTGAATGTAGCACCGTGTTAAGTGTTTTCCTCAGTAGAAATAGATCATTTAGAAGAAGAACATACTCTGCCCACGTTGGGACCCCACGTTAAAAGTAGTAAAGCCAATCAAATGACTTGTCTGACAGAATTAGTGCATCAATTAGGTGTGGTGGTCGCTGGTTGCAAAAGAGCTTGCAAGAGGATTGAGTAGTCTAGATAGGTCAACAAGTATTTTCGAACCGGAGATGTTATTATCCTGACCTTCTGGCCCAGAAGTAGGGATACTATCACTATACCACAAAAACCCTTCAAGTTAATCGGTAAAACTATCATGTGCTGTTAGCCATGAAGTACCATTAGTGTTTGAGTACTGTTGATGTTGCTTCTGTAACATTTTAACATTAAACATGTTCTTAACTGACAATAAAGCATTACATAGAATGCTAGAATTAAAGTTTCTCCCCTTTTTTGCCATGTTCACTGCCAGAAGATATCTAGATTGGGTTTGATCTGGGGTTTTCTTTTTGAAGATGGAGATTCATTTAAGACCATAGCTAAGGTCTCAGTATGGTAATACAAAAAACAAGTGGCACAGAGTAGATAAGTAGAATTTATGAATATGTAATAGTAGTTAGAGTTTTACCACAAATGCTGGTAAAAGCAGAATTTAAATTTAGAGCATCCCAGGAGTAAGTGGACAGACCACAGACTGACTTGCTGTTGTTTGACAATGAAATGAACAAGATCAAATTCCAAATTTTACCTGTGGGACAGTAAAAATCAGCAAAAGGTTTACTTGCCTGTGTATATTACCTGATGCCATGAGACTTCATGGAGTCTGGCAACAACATTTGAAGAGTCTTGAGAGTTGCTCTTCCTTACTGTACAGCATTGAGAGTCTCCTGCTGGTGGGAAAGGACATATCCAGGGATGATTATAGAGGTATCTGAGACATGGGTTGTAAGAAATGAATATTTCAAACAGTTGCTTGATTAATCTTTAGGGCAGTACTCCCAATTTTGTGACTGGCCTTTGGATGTTAATGACGAGCTGATGTGGGTCTGAGTCCATACAGGCCCACTAGGGAGATACCTGTCCCTGATGCTCCTATCAATCTGAAACATTGTCTGTTTCTCTCCATAGCCTGACCTGCTAAATATTTCCTGCATCTGATTTTGTGTTGGATTTTTTAGTATTATGTTTTCGTCTTTGAGGCAGCTTTGTCCCTTTTTCTTACTTTTTCATATAGTTCTGCCCAACTTGCAAAACATCATTGGACATTCTGTACTGAAGACACTTTTTGTATAAATACTGTTGCTTGTGATTGCTAGAGTTGATTTGATTATTAACAGGTAAGCACAAATGCTCCTAAGTAATGCAAACTTGGACGGTTTGATTGAGTAACTTGCTTCTGTTCTCGGGGAAAGAATTGGAAAAATATCAAACTCGTTCTCTTCTGTTTGTTTTGAAAGTGATCCTTGTTAGCAAACACTTGTTTATAGACCTGAAGTGAAGAGAAATTCGTGTTAAGTAGCAAAATCCTCAGGTTCAAAGATATTTCAAATGATTTAATATCTATACCATTAGATGAATGACTTAAAACTTAAAAAGCAGATTTAAAAGTCTGAGAAATAACCGTTTAGAATGAGCAGCTAATGAAAGTTAAGAAAAATAATTGCAATAATGTTGCTTTGCCAAGGTACTGGTGGATGTGGTTGGGAAATTGGAGACAGAATTGCACTAATGGAATATGCGTGTGATGGTTGTTAGGATTTATTTTTTAGATAAAGTTTGTTCAATATTTTATATGGTTGTGAGTCAACCATTCATAATATGGATGCAGCAACTCTCAACATCTCACTGTTTGTTTTCTCTGCTGTTGACTATTTGTCACTGAATTTCAGGTCTTGATATTGCAGAATCATTGAAGCCCAAATGAGGCCATTCAGCCCATTGTGTCTTCGGCTGTCTAAGTGAGCATTTTACTTTGTGCCGTTCTTCTGCCTTTTCCCTGTAACCTTGCACACGCTTCCCTTTTAGTTAACAATGTTTCAATTGAACTTGTCGCCTTTGCTTGTTTTGCCCATTAATTTAAATCCGTTCAATCCCACTGTTGATCTTTTCAGGAGTGGGAAAAGTTTCTCCCTGTCTCCTCGGTCCAGACATCTCGTGATTTTGAATATCTCAATTAAATCTTCACTAAGCTGTCTCTTCTCCAAGGAACAGAGTCCCAACATCTCCCTCTTGGTTCAGAACTGAAGTCCCCCATCCCTGTGACCATTCTCGTGAATCTTTTCTGCAACTGTATGAATATTTTTACATCCTTCCTACACTGAGGCACTGCAAGCAATATTGCAGCTGAGGCCAATTGGTGTTTTATACAATTCAAAGTAACCTCCTTGCTATATGTCCAATTTAGTAAAGTCTGAGATACTGTATGCTTTATGAACCATCCTTTTAAATCTGCCACTTGCAATGATTTATACGCACAATTACCTTGGTTTCTCTGCTAGTGGTCTTCCCCTTTAGAGTTTTTTAATATATTTTTAATTATTTGCTCCATGCTCTTCCTACCAAAATGGACCACTTCACATTTCTCTGCCACAGGAGTTGGAGGCAAAGGTTTTTTGTACAGAGGGTGGTAAGTGCCTAGAATGCACTACCAGAGAACGTTATAGAAGGAGATACAATAGCAGTATGTAACAAGCATCTTGACGGGTACGTGAACAGGCAGGGTATAGGGGTATAAAGACCGTGTAGAGGCAAAAGGTTTTAGTTTAGAAAGATATCATATGTCAGTGCAGTCTTGTTAGGCTAAAGGGCCTGTCCTTGTGCTGTACTGTTCATTGTTCTTTGTAGCTGTCTGTCCATTCCACCAACTTTGTTCTTTTCAAAGTTCTACACTAGTTAAGATGCATCTTTTTCTTGTAAGGGCAGAAGAAATGTGGAACTCTTTTCCACCAAGAGCAGTAGACATTAGTTTGATTCTGAATCCGAGTACATATTTTTGTTTGATGTATATTAAAGATATACAGAGGCAAGGCACGCAGATGGAGTGAGCACATACTAATCAACTACGAGTTTACTGAATGGCACAACTGCTAGGAGTAGTTATTTCCACATAATTAAATGGAGTCTTCCACATAGTCCTTTCATTCACAGTGCACATGTCCATCAAATTATGCTCTTATTGTGGCACAGTTGATTGCCACATGCAGAATTATCTTTTTGGAGCCGATTCTTTGTCTTCAATAATGTTGGATGTTACTGGAGCTTCTTTGTAAATACTGTATTAAATTTTTTAAGCAATTTTCATTTCGTAGTTTCTGGGAAAGAGAAACAGCAGAGAAAAAATTGTGAAATCAACTGTGACCACCAGTTACTATCTTGATTTGTAACTTTCATCAGGCATGCTTGAATTTTCTAAACCGGGATGCATAAACATTGCATTTTACAACACTGAATGACATTTACTTGATTGTCTAATATATATAAGTTGATGTGCATTCTATTAATTTGATCAAAATTCTCAAACCGTGTACACGTAATTGTGTCACAAACAAAATTATGAGCAGTTCCATCATTGGTCTGATCTAAATCATTGATAAAAATGACAAGTAGCAGTGGTTTACTGCCTGTAACCTGGCCCTGCAGAGAGATACACTTCCTGATGATCTGCCTGCAAAATTGAAGCCATTTGTCTGTTCAGTAACTGCTGAACAGTTCCCAAAATATGTAATGATGATTAGTGAGTTTTTATACAGCACTTTATTAAGGACATTTTGGAAATGATTTTATCATCCAGTGATTTAGTAATCTCCAAGAACACACTCAGAATTACGAAAGAGGATCTTCATTCCTAAAGCCATGTATGTATTCCATAATAACTGCTGAACTCTTAAAGTAGTCAGAAATCACATCATCTGCAACTGACATCAAACTGACTGGCTTGTAATTCCCAAAGTCCAATTCCTTCCAGTCAATTATAGGAATTGCAAGAGTTGTCTTGCTGTTTGTTGGTAGTACCCCAGATCTCGAGAGTTACTGAATATGAGCCAGTAGTGCACACAATATTTCCATTCCTTAAATAGCCTGGAGTATTTGGAATCAGTCTGAGCTGCATAATCATGAAATGTTTGAAGTTTGGCTAATAGCATTTTCTTTTGCAGTCAGTCTATAAGTCAATTTTTTACTGTACCTAAATCAATTGCGTTTGGCATCTAAGCGTCATTATCCATGATTAAATATAATTCTCATTGATTATTTCACGCTTGAGCCAAATCCTGATCTTTGTATGTAAGATGTTGAAAGTAAAATTTAATCTACCTTAAAGTTCAGCAGAATAAATCCGTATTTGCAGCTGGATTTCAAAGCAATATGGGACTGTATAGCAGCTGGTGTTATACATATTTCTTGAAGGAAAACAAGGATAAAATCCCTTGGTGTCATCAATTCCTGAGTTCTATATGCTACAAAGCCCAAATGGCCTGAAGTTTTGGGGGAAAAAAAACTGCTAGATAGTATTGGAAGAGCAATCAGCACCAGCCCAACATGTTACTAGTTCTCTCATAATGTACCTTGCTACCTATTTTGGCTTCTGTTTTTATACATGGGCTTACCACAATACTTGTTCATCACTCTCTAATCAATCAAAATAGATTTGGTGTGTGACTTCACAGCAAGATGCCCTTCCAAGATGCCACTGTCTCTCCTTCTAGAAAGTAAATTGACTGAGATAAGAACACGAGAAATAAGAGCAGGAGTAAGCCAATCGGTCACTCGAGCCAGCTCTGCCATTCTGTAAATCACCTTTCCCAGGCTTTAACTCCACTTTTGAGCCACCTCCTTGTATTCTGAATGCCACTATTTTAAAAATCTTCCTATTGTCTGTTTATATATTTTCCGTGATCTGGC